TGTCATTTTCTCCTCTCCTTCCTGCTGCTCCCCCCACCCCCCGCCTTTTCTCCCAGCCCGTGTGCTGTTTCCATGCATCTACATTTCTGTGCTGATCTGTTGGTAATGCTTGCTGATGCTTCACGCACATGCAATGCAGGCTGTATAACCGGGATTTGTTTATTGGTTACACTGACCAGAACCCTGAAGCCTCCTATCTCTTAAAAGTTCCAACTGAAAACCTTGTAAGGCCCCAAACATCCATAAAATCCTTTATCTCAACCTCTAATCCTTTGCTAGATCCACATTTGTATCAACTTCTGCTTTTATGGAATACTGTTCTGTAGACTGGTATTAGGACAATGCTGCAAAGTTCTCAGTATTAATATTTGAAGGATCTCGAAATGAAAAACAAAAGCTACAATATGTAAATGAGCGTATGAGAACATTTACCATTGTGTGTTTATAAGTACTGACTCCGCTACGGAAAATAAGATATTTCCCATTTATACAACGTAACCATGCAGTCCATTTCTCTGTGTCAGCTTTCATGCATGAAGTAGCATCAAGAAGAGTGTTAGTGGTTTTATTCTCTGGGAATACTGATCAGAAACTAAGCTGTCAGTGGAAAATATTGCCCCCCTCCCCTCCAAGCAAAGTTGTTTTATTTTTTTAAATATATTCAATGTGAATAATTTCCTGAGAATTTTATGTATTCTTAAATAAATACTGTTAATTAAATTTGTCATTTAAATTTACTGATCATATAAATAATATACTACATTTCTAACTGAATGTATTAAAGTGTTACTAAACCAAACAACAGTAAAATGAGTCTGTATATGCAGTACAGAATGCTTGTTATACTCACTGTGGAACCTAAGGGGTTAACCCTCCGCATTGTATAAAAAGGCTGTTTGATCCTGTCTTCTCTAATCCATCCTTTCTTCTACTGTCCCCAATCCATGTGCTGATAGAGCAGAGCCTTGAGGGGGCAAGCTGCACATGTTAAGTTTGGTGTGTATTGCTAGAAGGTTTTTTTTTATCTTAGGAGAGTGCATGTGATCAGCACAGGGCCAATCAGTGCTTTCCAGACAGTGGGTCAGGGGTTATGCAGCCTCATAGGACAATCAGGGGAGAATGAAAACTCCTCCTACAAGCTTTAACCAGTACTCTGCTGGAGACTGATAGAAGTCACACGACTGCTCTACCTGCAGATGAGAAAAGGTATTTAGCAGTTTATATTTACTAAAATATTTGCATTTCCATGTTTTGTGTACTGTGGGCAGGGGCGGACTGACCGTTTGGAGTCTTGGGCACCGCCCGAGTGCCCTGGGTCAGTAGGGGGCCCCATAAGAGGACCCTGGTACCTTTTTCATAGGCTTTTTTTAGTTTGGGCAAGGACACAGGGGCCCCATGATCCCCTTTTGCCTGGTGGCCCCATGAGTTGTCAGTCCGCCCCTGACTGTGGGTACAGTTGCCATGCCATCCTTACCTTGGTGCAAGCCCCTGGCTACATTAAAGTAGGTGTTAAAGCATATCTAAACTCAAAAAAATTGCAGCTTCTTAGGCTAGGTGCACACTATTGTGGTTTCCCTGTGAATGCTTTGAGTGGGCACAGCAATCCATTCATTGGAATGGGCTGCTGTAGTACCCAAAGAAAACACAGGGAAAAAAGGTCTCTGCACCTTTTCCAAAAAAATAGTGCAAAAACATACCCAGCATGAGAAATTAACGGCCCCTCCATGAGTCTGCTAACAGCAACGTATATTTGCTGTAGGTGCAGGAAAGCATGTGATTTTACAAGCGATCCTGCACCCACAAGGGTGTGAACCTAGCCTTAGTCCTTTGGCATGGTGATTGCCTTACCTTGTTAGTTTTTTAGGCGGACCTGATGGGAGGGTCCATGTATTCCTATAGACGGAAGTCTGTTTATACCCACCTACCTCCAATCCGATCCACCCATAGAGCGAGCGGGCTGTGTCTGTGTCCACTCTGCATAAGTGTTGTGGACACTGACTTGTCATTCGCCTGCTCTGCTCTGTTCTGTTCAGGGGGATCAGTGGATAGATTCTTCACTGAGCAAATGCGGAGTCTGCCCCGAGTGAATGGGGTCTTACTTTTTTTTTTATGATCCTGCCAATTACATACTTCCTGTCCTGGGGTGACAATGCTTACTCACTGCACAGTATTTATGGAGGAGCAACGCTGTCACCCTAAAGGGCCTGATTTGGACTACAAACATTTCTCATCCCTCGTCATCACTATTACATGGTGGTGGGGGGGTTGTAGTTAAACTGGCTGAAAAAGTTGATAAAGTTGAGATATCTGTTCAGTGTATGGGAAGTAAGCTAGTACACTGCATTTTTTACAAGATCAACAGTTATTTGTCTGTACTTGTAGAAAATATTCATATCCTGAAAAAGAAAATAGATGCAGCTAAGTTGCAATATATTACAACTTTGTTCTTGGGTTTAGATATCTTTGAATTCATCACACTGGGTGTCATGCAAGCATGCAAGTATCCAAATGGTGCATGTTTCAAAACAGGAAAATATTGTGTAAAGCGGAGGTCCAGTCAAAATTAAAATAAAAGTCAGCAGCTACAAATACTGTAGCTGCTGACTTTTGAAAAACAGACAAACACCTTTCCCTTGATCCAGCGTTGTGCTCACACCAGCCGGGTTCACTGGCTGTCCTGTGTCCCCAACGCAAGCATCTTCAGTGTGGGCACCCGGCTCTGACAACATGTGGCTTCACAGCCGGGTGCCCACTGCACATTGCACGAGTAGCTCTACGCCTTCTGAATGGTTCCATAGTCTTACGGGACCTTTCTTTCTGTACCAGAAGACTACAGGGAGGCGGGTGGGAGGACAACTTCCACTTCTGATTGCCTAGGCGATTGCAGCAGAAATGGGAGCAGGTACCTGTCAAATTTGGGTACCCACTCCCCTAAGGTGCCAATCCTTAACAGAGAACGAAGGACAAAGCCTTATGGTGGAATTTCCCCTTTTGGGTGGAGCTCCGCTTTAAATATTTCTTCTTGTTTTATGTTTCCCAGTGGTCATGTGACAGTTTCAGTGTCGGGGTTGTGCATGGGGAGAAGCCATAGATGATGCATTGCAGTCAATAACTTTACTTCTCATGTTCATTTGCTGGGGCATAAGGGATTCCTGTCCATCAAGCATTACACAGTAGTGTTGGAGGCATGGGCAGAGCCAACAGGCTGGCTGAGTGCTGTAGTCTTGCTTGCACACAGCAGGGTGACAAAGCTACTGCTTCATTGAAGGCAGTGGGTTAGTTTTGTCACCCTGGTTTAGGAATCCAGCTCCAGGTATGGAAAAAAAAACTACATTCACAAATGCTTGTTATTATACATATTATTTTTTTATGATGGGGGCTACATATCCTTTAAGAGGTACAGATACAAGGGCTATACTACAGACCAGATGGTGTGACAGAGTAGTCTACATCACCAAGGTACTGTTTTCTGGTTATTTTTTGGCTGTAGAATTCTGGAGTGGTTTAGTATTGATTTTTAGGAAAAGTCCGATTATTATCCCTAAATGGATATTACAAAGCTTCTTTACGCTCCAAAATATGATGCTATGTGTGCTTTTTGTTCCTTCCAGTTTCCTGTTTTATTTTATGCCATTGTGCTTCCAAGAACTGTTTTTCGATTAATAACGTATTTCCTTTTCAATAAAAACGTAATTTGTAACCACAGATGTATATGTATATGTGAGCGAGAGATCCAAGTAAACCTTAAGAGATTGCAGTTGAGTCAGTTTTCTATTTCTTCTCATGTTACAAGATGGAATTCACTAACAGTGTTTTTTAGTGCAACAAATGAAACATGGCTTATATTATAGAATAGTCTGCTATCACTATTATCATAGTCACTTTTATTTTTTAACTTGCAGTGCATATAACATCTTGAGTAGGGCACACCCAGCTGTTTGTATACCTATAGTATCTGAATTATCAACTCTACGTGGAAAATGATAGAGCAATATATTTCCACAACCTCTAAAATACCTACTTGAGAAGATTTCAATATGTTTTCTCTTTTTTAACCACTTAAGCGCTTGAAGATTTTACCCCCTTTATGACCAGGGCATTTTCTTGCTATTCGGCACTGCGCTACTTTAATTGGCAATTAACTGGTGGTCATGCAATGCTGTACGCAAATAAAATTTATATAATTTTTTCTCGCAAATAGAGCTTTTTTGGTGGTATTTGATCACCACCTGGTTCCTTATTTCTTAGGTGATCCTGGTGCCAGCCAGGGATTTTCTCTTTGGTGGCATTTCCCCACACTTCCTGTTTGGCTATGTGATAGGAAGTGAAGAGAAATCTCCCCAATAATAAGATAAACAACAAAAATGACAGCAGTATATCCTTCGCTTACTCTACTCTAAAACAAGTTTTGCCTTTTTGTTCCACTTTAAATACTTACAGATACAAGCTTTTGTGATAACTTTGGCTGAAGAAGGGATGTATAAAGCCTAAAGAAGGGATCTAAGATAAACTAAAAGTTTTCATTGCAAAATTTAGTTTGCCAATAAAAGGTATCACTTTCTGTATGATTTATACCAAATATTTAACCACTTGCCCTCCAGAGGATTTACCCCCTTCTTGACCAGGCCATTTTTTGCATTACGGCACTGAGTTACTTTAACTAACGATTGCACAGTCATGCAAGGATGCACCCAAATTAAATTTACATCCTTTTTTCCATAAATTGAGCCTTCTTTTGGTGGTATTTGATCGCCTGTGCATTTTTTTTATTAATAAAAAAAAATACCAACAATTTTGAGAAAAAAACTTGACTTTTTGCTATTAAACATGTCCAGTAAAAAAATTAAAAAAATCAAATTTTGTCATAAATTTAGGCCAAAATGTATTCTAATACATGTCTTAGCTAAATTAATTAGTTTACATGAAAGTTATAGCAATTACAAATGGCAGTATAGATACTGGATTTTTTTTTTGTTAGTAATGGCGGCGATCAGCAACTTATAGCGGGACTGCAGAGGACATTCTGGTACTGGGGGGAAATGACTTGGTGTCACTGACATCCCCAGTGACACCAATATAGTGATCAGTGCTAAAAAAAAGCACAGACACTGTACTAATGGCACTGGGCATGAAGGGGTAAACATGAGGGGCAATCAAAGGGTTAACTGTGTGCAGGAGAGTGTTTTACTAGGGGGGCGGTGTGTTGGTGCTTCACTGTAAGCACACTGCGTTAGATGGCTGTGCTGTGCACAGCCAACCAAAGTAGTGTGACCGAGCTGACAGGGAGGAGGATTGTTAGTAAACAAAACAGTCCTCCTCCCCGTTGGAGATCCCCTACCAGGAAATGCAAAATCATGTATATATATATATATATACGTGATTTTGTGTACCCGTGCCGCCCTGTAGCAGTATTTCTTCTATAGGGCAGTCGGGAAGCGTTTAAAGGATGGAGAAAGAGAGAGAATAGAAAAGCATGAACTGGTGTATCATTTAAATAAAAGTCTAAAAAACCAGTTGGCTGTATTTAAAAATGTTGTAAGTTTTCATAATAACATTTAGTTAACATAAAAGGTGCAAATTGGTGAAACTTATTTTGCCAAAAATGAATAGCTTTTGTGCTGGAGGCCTTTTAGAAGTTTTTATTATTTACTGAATATGTATTATTTTATTGTTTATTTTTCTCATATGACATCACATGTAAATACACTTTTAAAGTCTTATTTTGGCATTTTTCTCAGTAAAAAAAATTCAATGCATTTCTTAACACTATCTGCCTCAAGGAAATTATCAAGCTGCTGGAATGTTTTCATCGTACAAAATTATATTAACTTCTAATACAATCAGCAAGCGTAGAGAGCAGCGCACACTTCACGGCACTCTGTGCCTCAATTCAAACCATTTATCCCGGATTTATTTGTGAGCGCAGATTTATTCCTATGGCTTGGCACATACATGAACTGAAGCGACTAATTACATTTCTCTTTCACTGGCTGAAAAACCCCCACCAGTGCCGAGCATGAAGGAGTAACCCAAGAGGCAGAGAAGTTCATTTTAATAAACAGCACTGCCGGCACCATGCCATGTGGCTCGTAGAGGAGCTGCACAAATCACTGCGAACAAGGCAGTTCTAGAATGGAAGGGGGATTGTTAGTGATTTGTTGCTCCATTTATACATAACTCCATTTACTGGGCTATTGTTCTTTTCTATTGCCAGGCAATAAAGCCACTCATTTTTAATGAACAACAACATCATATTCCGTAACTGTTCTTGAAATGTTACTATAAGAACACTTTCATTATTGTGTTTTAATGACTTTATGTTTACATTATTAATTAGAATTGAACTCAGGAGATGCTTTGGTCAAATGGGAGAAAAACGTGTTTTGAGAAATTTTTGCTCTATTTAAAGGGAAACTCTACACCAGAATTTCTCAAGTATTTTTCAGTCCAGGCACCCTTTAACCACTTCAAGTCCAGACACTTTCACCCCCTTCCTATTCAGGCCAATTTTCAGCTTTCAGTGCTATCACACTTTGAACGACAATTGCGCGGTCATGCAACACTGTACCCATATGAATTTTTTTAGCATTTTTTTGAGACAGATAAATCTTTATTTTGGTGGTATTTATTCACCACTGAGATTTTTATTTTTTTGCTATATAAATGAAAAAGTCCAAACATTTTGAAAAAAAAGTGTTTTTCTTATAACATTTTGCAAATAAATAATCTTTCTTCTTGGGCAAAATGTATTCAGCTATCTTTTTAGTAAAATAAAATAACCCAAATTAGTTTATAACCAAAAATTATAATTTTTCCAAATTTTTATTTACATTTTTATTTTATTTTTTTATATTATTATTTATGTTTTTTTGGTTTGTTTTTTTAACTGTCAACCTATATAGTCAACCATAGTGACACTGTGCTACTTGTGAGGGGTGAAGAAGATATTTTTTTTTTTCTTACACTGATTGCTTTTACATCCATAAAGGCTGTAAAAGCAATAATTTCTCCTTCTCTCTGGCTGCATTCTTGCAGCCATTGGGAAATACTGTGCGAGCTGTGATTGGTCACAGCTTGTCATATGGTACACGACTGTTGTGAATAGCCTTGTACCATATGACCTCTATGACCATTCACAGATTTCACAAGTAGTAAGCAATGATGTCAGGAAGTGTCATCTTGCTTACTACTATTCATGTGATCACTGATTGGCCAATCAGTGATCACATGATCAGGACCTCACACAGAGATCCCGATCATGTGATCCTCTGGACACAGCAGGCACCAGGCTATCAGGGAGCTCGCACAGGCAGTGAATGCAGGGGCCATTTATAAACGGCCACCCTCTTTGGCACTGCTCCCATCAGGCCCTTTATGTACATGGGCCGGACGGGAAGTGGTTAAAATTATTCACAACCTCAAGTCAGCATCCACACATGTAGGACACCCAACATGGTTTATTATACTACTGCTTATTCTACCTACTGGTACTGATTAGTATTCCAGCATTTATATTCTACCTCAGTTTTTTTCCCCTCACTCAGCTAACGTGACCCCAGTGCTTACAGAAGAAGGCAGGAAAGGGGAAACAAGGATGTTGTGCAAGCACCCACTGTCCTCCCTAGAAACCAATCCCATCATTAGATGTTAGGATTCCAGTGGCTGGCCAACATGGTGTCCAAGGTTGTAATGCTGCACAATAAAAACCTGTGGCTTTGTGTAAGAAAAGGCAGGCTTGATCCATTTGCAGGCATGTTAACAATTTTTGGGCAATTTGGGGCAATTGTTAGACATTTTTGCCAAAGCACCCCTGAAGAACTCAGAACACACCCCAGGGTGCCACAGCACCCTGGTTGAGAAAGACGGTTCTACACCACTTTTGTTTTCTTAATATTTAGTTTTTGGTAAAGTGAGGCAGGCTTCGATCTCTAACAGGGTCCTTATTTCTGTTATTGACTCCAGCTGGGAAGATATACAGATATACTTCTACCTGACAGGTAAGTTTCTGTGGGGTGTGCTTCCTCTCTCTTACTGGCTTACTAGTAGGTTCTAATATAAATTTATGGGTTGATGTTCTGTAGAGGGAGGTTGAGCTCACAACATGATCCTGGCTGTCACATTCATGCGGGGAAGGAGGGGGGGAGCTCTGCTCTGGGTTCATAGACAGCAGTTAAAACCCAGCTAAAGCCTAGTATGCACTATGAGAAAGTCAGACGACCGGTCATCTGATTTTTCATAAAAGTGCATATCATGATATCGTCGGAAAGGTATTGACTTGTAAGAAAATTCTCAGCCAACAAAGGCAAACATAGCTACGTACTAGTAGAACAACCGGCTGAATTTTGATCCATGTATGACTGGTGTTAGTAGCTGGGCTTCTCCATTGTATGTTAATAAGAGCTGGATTTACCCAATCACCAGCCTTTCTGTTGGGACTAGTCATGGGCATTGTGATAGAAATTTTATATTCATACTGAAAACCCGGGTGTACACACACTTTGAGAGTCCACTAATAGGTTCTTTATATTTCACAGCGTTTGGCTGACTTTGTGGACATTTTGTAGTTTTGTAAAAAAAATCTTGCGTTTAATATAATAAATGTTTTCTAATTTCTTACTTGATGTAGTATTTTACAAGATAATAGTGGCAAAAACAGTAGTGAAATTTGATTGTGTGCACTTTTTTTTTGTCTGAGCTACAGCAAATTCCAAAAAGTTTCAGCTGTAGATGGGTTGAAATATGAAATCATCAGCTGAAAGTAGGATGAGAGCTATTGCTTTTAATGAGAGTTCAGAAAGTGATCTATAAGCTCTTAGTAACACAGATTTAACCCTTTGTTGAGAATAATCTAACTTTACACCCTTTGAAGGCTCCATAATTTATTTTTTGGAGTGGATGTTGAAAATGAAAGTGAATTAATTTTTGTACTTAATCCTGACAGTGGATGCAATAACTTAGAATTCTGAGTGTGCAAAGCTATATGTAAAATAAAAAAAATACATTTTAGAAATGCAAATCTGAACTGTTATCCAGTAATATTCGATATTTTATATATTTAAATGTTTTAAGTATTCAAAGGACATCACATTACAATGGAGAATCTCTAATCAAATTTTTCTTCTGTAAAAAAAGAAGTAAAATGTAATCCCTATTTTTATTAATCGCTCTGCTTGCAGTGTGTAGTAGGAAAGGGATACCTAATAAAGCCCTGTAATACAATGTAATATTATTGTAATTTCAGAAGTAAAGAAAAAAATCAGAAATAAGTGGACACCCAGCCAAAAATACACGGCTTTGTGTTTCTGAGTTGACAGCTTGCCATTGGCTAAATATATCCTTATGGGAAAAATATCTTCTTGATCATAACCAACAATACAGGCTTAAGATTTGAAATGTGTTGCTATTATTGGCTATTACCACAAGGTCTAAACTGTGCTTACTGCATAACGATAAGTCTGTAAAAACTATTTTGTTTGGAGCTGTGCTTTTTTATTGGTGCTATTGAAGTCTTCAAGTTGAAGGGACGTTTGGATCAATGGCTTTTATTTTAAGGGAAATACACACTGTAGCAGAGTTAATAAAGATTTTCATATTTTTAATTGGAAAACCAAAAATCAGTCTTAGAACAACAGAAAAAAAAGCTGTTGATAGGTACAAAGTTTATGCACCTAGTCTTTTGCACATACCTGTGGCAGTTATCAATGTCCACACAAAACTTTGGTACTATCTAGTAGTGTCACAGTCTGCTTTACCCCTCCCACTTCCCCATACATTCCTGTTGGACAGTGAGGCAGCCCATAATAGTGATGGGCCAAAAGGAAATGTATTAGTGGGCAGAAGGAAGCAGGGACGCAACCTGTATGTGTTGGACGTTTTTCAAACAAGAATCGCCTGGTATTTGGGCAGGATGATGGTTCTGCAATGTGGTACACCTGTAGGTAAGTGCACTTTAAACTTGATAACCAACTTTTGTTTTGTTAACATGATAAAGTCTCTTTAACGGTTAAAAAGTAAGATGAAGAGTAGGGGTGAACTACTTTAAAGCTGAACTCCAGATAGGATCTTTATTGCATACTTACATCAGTTTAGCTTTGACCAATATAAGTATGCATATCCCATAACTGAAGGCCTGCTGAGAAAGCTGACAACCAGGGGCGGACTGACCATTCGAGCACTCGGGCACTGCCCAAGGGCCCAGGGTCAGTAGGGGGCCCCATGAGATGCCCCTGGTACCTTTCATTGGCTTTTTCATAGGCTTTATTGGGTGTGGGTGAGGATAGAGGGGCCCCATGATCCCCTATTGCCCGGGGGCCCCATGAGTTTTCAGTCCGCCCCTGCTGACAACTACTGTAGTAG